CATAACTACACGGCGCCGATCGCAGAAGCCTTTTCCCCTTTCCCTTCCCCTCCAAACTCCGATATGTTTCCCCCCTCTGCCCGCTGCCCCCATTCCCTCCTCCAGGTCACCCCATGCCCCATGCCCCCCTCATTCCCCCCCCCCTTATTTTCTGACATCGTCAGCCCCCCTCACCCCTCGCAGATTCTCATCATATCCATTCTCTCCTCCTCGCCTCTCGTCGTTGACCTCCTCCCTCCTCCTCCTCCTCCTCCTCCTCCTCCTCCTCCTCATCATCATCACTCCTCCCCCTCCTCCTCGACCTCCTCCTTCTCGTCCTCATTCTGATCCTACTCCACCTCCTCCTCCTCTTCCCTCCTCCTCCCCCCTCCTCCCCCTACCCCTTCAGTTCTCCACCTACTAATTACTACCTGCTCTCGCTGAGCGTCTAGATTGCCGCGCAATCCCCTCAGGCCTCAAGCGAGCAGCGAGCGCCCGATGCCCCTCGGCCCTCGGCCCCTCGGCCCCTCGGGGCCTTCGCGCCGCCTTCTTCGACGACAGGACGTCGCGGGCGGCCGTCGTCAGCGCGTTCGTGCTCGAGTGCTGCATCAGCACCTTGCACGTGTCCGACAACAGCGACTCCGTGTCTTTGCCGGTGCCGTCCTCTTTCTGGTTGAGCAGCAGGACGGCCTTGGCGCCGCCGAAGTCCGAGTCGCCAATCTGCTCCCAGAAGAGGTGCCCCGGAGGCAAATATATATGCCCTGGCCCGCCTCCTGCCTGCCATGCCAGACGGCATGGCCCTGCGCGACGAAGGCCTCGAGGTCCTTGGCCGTGATGTCGCGCAGAAGCCCCGTGATCTGCTTCGCGTCGTATTTCTCGCCCAGGCTGTCCATGTACTGGTGGACCGCGGCACCGCTGACCACGACGAGTTCTTGCTGCCGCTGATGCACAACCTCAGCGTGGGCAACTGCCCCAGCTCGAAGGCCGAGGTCTCAAGCTTCTTGTCCACGACGAAGATGCTCGGGATCAAGGCGCACCGCAGCGAGTCGGGCTTCATCTCCTCCGGGGTCAAGAGCACCCGCTGGGACGCGTGGAAGAGGGACATCCGGACTTTCTCCAAGCCCTCGGCGGCAGATGGAGTGAGGGCTTTCTGGCCCCTGCGATTCTTTGCCTTCTCCTCCGCGCCTGGGAAGCTCTCCAAGTAGGCTATGCACTGCCCGCGAATCTCCATGGGCGCGGGGATGTTCCCGATCAAGCACGGCACGGCCGGATCGAACATGCCGTCGGGCTCGATGTGCGTCTCCGGAAGGTCCACGACGTTCGCCTTGGCCTCGCTGCCCGCCTGCGCGACGAACGCCAGGACATGGTCGTGCGCCGTCTTCTTCTTGGCCGCGGCATCGCCGTTGCCTCCGAGGACCCATCCAAGAGCTAACCGCCCCCCGCTGTCAGATCACATGTTCCTCCACCCTCCACCCTCCACCCTCCACCCAACGCGCTACCTCCACCCTCCACCTCCACCCACTCCCCCTCCCCCCTCCCCTCCTCTCGCACACCTCCCTCCATCCCTCCATTGGACTCCGCGGAGGCGTGGTGGCGGTGGTGTTGGGTGATGGGCGATGGGGGGGGCGCCGGGGATGTCGGGCGGTGGGTGGGTGGATGGGCCCTGGCCCCCTGGCCCCTGGCCCCCGGTCCCCTGGTCCTCCCATCGCCCCCCCACCCTCCACCCTCTCCCCCCATCATCCCCATCGGTGCTATTGGCTCTAATCTCTAATCCCGCGTCTCCTCCAGAAGAGCTCTTCTGCCTCGCCTGCTGAAGCGCTGTGGCCACCCTGGCCTCGGCCGCTCTGACCATCGACTGGAGCTCCGTGAGGGCAGTCTTGTTCGCCTTCCAGCGCTGCGACACCGCGGAAAGCTCCACCTTGGACATGCACCTCTTGATCTCCGTCGGGATGGTCTGGAACTCTGACATTGTTAAGAGGCCGCGGAACTGGCGAGATGGGGGCATCATTCCAACGCCGAAGGTGCCGTCACCGCAGTTGCCAGCATTTACGGCGACCTTGGCGATGCACGCGCGGAGCCTGGCGGCGTCTGCTTCATCGCCTGCCACCGCGATTGTCGACGCATTGCTCGCGGGCGACTTAGCGGCAGACTTCGCCTTCGGCTTCGCGAAGGTTCTCGGCGAGCGTGCCTCAACCTCGGCGTCGGTCGTCGCTCCTCTCTCCAATGCCGCCTTCATCATTTTCTCCACCTCGACATCGAAGCCCAACTTTTCCCTCGCGAGCTTGAGGCCCTCCATGTACTCCTGAATGCATGGAGCCGGGCAGCTCTCCGGCGGGGGGTCAGGCAAGAAGTTGTTCTTGATGAACTCCTTGTCTTCGTCGGAGATAATGAGAGCCGGCAACGGGGCGTCAGCGCCACCTGAGTCACCCTCCCTCCTTCTCTCTCTGTTCTCCCCCCTCCACCCTCCTCCTCCTGTTCCTCCTCCTCCTCTCCTCCTCCTCCTCCTCCGCCTCCCCCTCCTCCCTCCTCCCACCTCCTCACCCGCTCCAGTCGTCAGTCATATCCCCATCTCCCTCCTCTCCCCTCCCCCCTCTGCCTCCAGCCTCCAGCGCCACCCTCTCCCCCTCCTCCTCTGCCCCCCCCCCCATCTCGCCCCCCCCTGCCCAGTTCCCCGCGCCAGGGGCCGACGCAAGTGAAGAGGAGGCCGCAGCGCCCGCGCCGCTGCAGGCAGCAGGCCCGCGGGCCCGTGGGAGAGGAGGAGGAGGGGGGGGGAGGCGAGCGGCGAGGAGACAAGCTGGCCGATAATATGGGAGGCCAGGGGCCAGGGGCCCAGGGCCCAGAGCCCAGAGTAAGGGGTAAGGGGTAAGGTAAAGGGTAAGAGGGCAAGAGCTATCCAGGAGGCCCCCCAATGGTTTCCAGATTTCCCAGGGGGCTCCGAAAAGCACCCCTCCCCCCAGATGCATCCGAGAGCACTCCAGGAGGCCCCAGTAAAGCATCTCTAGAGCCCCTCATATGATCCATGATGCTTCTGACCTGCGTCGCGAGGTCAGGGGGCCAGAGGGTCGAGGGAAGCGCGAGCCGCTCGGTCGGGGGTTGGGGTGAGGGGCGCGGGGTGGATGGCATTGGGCACCGCATTTGCCATTTGCCAGCTGCAGGGCGTCCTTCCCCCCCTATCCCCTATCCCCTATCCCCAATCTCTCTCGGCGCAGCCTAGGGCCTAGGGCCGAGGGCCCGAGGGCCGAGGGCCTAAGGCCTAAGGGGGGTCGCAATTCCATAAGAACTCCCCACTCCCCCCTCCCCCCTCCTCCTTCCTCCTTCGCCTTCTCCCCCCCCTCCCCTCTACCATCTACCCTCTACCCTCTACCACCTCCCTGCGTCATATAGCTCAAGATTGGAGTTGAGGGCCCGAGGGCCCCGTCCTGACCAGGAGTGCCTGGCGCCGCCTGCGTCTCCTGGTAGGAGGAGTCGGCTTGCAGGGGGGGGCGGGCGCGGGGGGGGCGCCAACGACCGCGCCGATCCCATCGCGGCCCGCTGCCCCTTCCCGGGACTCTCAGGAATCCTCCGGGCCCAATCGGCCTCGCAGTCGGCGCTGGCGCCGTCGCCCGCGAGCGCCAGCCGGCGGGCGGGCCGACCTTGTTGCGCATGTTTGGCGCGAGAGGCCCGCGCAGGCCTCGCGCTGTGCCCGCGCCCCAGGGCGACGGCCCAGGCCCTTGTAGCCTCCCGCGCTGACGCGATGGCCTCGCGCGCGGCGCAGGAGCGGGCGCCGCCGACCGTTCGGTTCGGCCCCGCGCACTTCTAATGCGAGAACGCAAAGCCCCCCATGCTGCTCGCGCGCTTTGCGCGCTGAGCAATGCGATGCAGTTGCGACGGCCGCGCGTTCAATTGGAAACCGCAGCGCAAGTTTCCATTCCGGCGCGCGGGGCGGTGCATGAACTTACAGATGCGCCGACGGTCGAGAACTCGCGCGCGCGCCCGCGCCTGCCATGTTGGGCGCGCGCACTGGACCCGGACATCTGTGGCTCGGCCGCCCGATGCGCCCCAAAAATCGCTCCGCCTCCCCCCCCGCCCCCCTCCCCTTCAAAACTCTTTTGCGCTCCTGGAAAAACAATGCCACCGAGGCGGGGGCTCGGGCCGCGGCCTGATGGTCTCCGGGGCACAGGGGAATCGAAGGAATCAGCACGGAATCAGTACAGAATCAAAACGGAATCGGCACAACTGCGACCCCTGATTCTAGCGGAATCAAAAGAATCAGTACGGAATCAATACGGAATCAAAGGTGGAATCGGTGATGGAACCAGAATCGGCCAGAACGGGGAAGTAGGCCAGAATCGGTGCCAGAACTCATGGAGAGAGGCCTTTTGTTCCTTGAGTTCACTGCGGCGGGTGCGCGGCGCGGGCGCGCCGCGCGACTTCGCTGGTTCAGCGAGGCGCGCAGTCGGCGTTCAGAGTGAACAGGTTGTTTTCAGGGCGATATCCTGGCGGCGCGCTGGCGCATTGCGCATTTGCGTATTCCTGGCGGGCTGTTTGAGGGCGACCCGGCAGCGTCGGCCGAATGGCCCGCAAATACTGCGCGGCCGATCGCGCGCCCCATGCGGTGACGTCGACCGCCGTGTGCCGCGACGGCCGCGCGCCCCGGACCGCGCCATTGCCGCGTTGGATTGGACGGCGCAGCGCCCGTCCTCCAAAAGTCGTCACATGCATATCGCGCGTGTCGAGCCAGCAGCAATCGCTCCCAAAAGCAGCCTTGACAGGCGCACCATGCCCTCTGTCGCCCGGTTCCGATCCACATGATAGTTTCTTAGGATGCGCTTGCGCGAATGTGGGCGCGCGGGCAAGTAACGCGTGCGCGCGCTTGGCGCAGCCTGGGAAATCCAACATGGAGCCCCCCGGTGGCGCGGGGCGCCGGCGACGCCTCCGCCCGCCTCCCGCGCGCCCGACCCCCCCCGCAAGCCGACTCCTCCTATCTCCTGGCCCTCCTCCTGCTGCTCAGCCGGCTGCCCCCCCTCCTTCTTGGGAGTCGCCTGGTCGCCCGTCGCGGCCTTCAGCTCCATCACGGCATTGACGCTCTCCGCGCCGCCCTTGACCAACCTCAGCGCGTGGAGCCTGTTCCTCAGGATGTCCGCGTCGCGGCAGCACGTGGTCGCGATCCCCGGGTCGGAGGCGGCTACGGCCTGTAGGGCAATCTTCGCCTTGGCGATCAAGCTCACCACGCTCTCATCTTGCTCGCCGCTCCACTTCTCGTGCAACTTCAAGGCGTCCGCGATCTTCACGCCCCTCTGGTTCCATACCGGCCTGGCCGCCTCCTCGGCGGCATTCTCGCCGGTGCCGGACTTCGCAGCACCCCCGCTGCCAGGCTCTCCACCGGCGCCGCTGGCGCCGCCATCCACGTCGGCCTTTGCCGCCGCCGCCGATGAGGCCTTCTGCTTCTTGGCCTCGCGAGCTTCCTCGTCCTTGTCGTAGTCGGCCATCATGGCCCGGGCGTCGCCGACCTTCCGCTTCATGTCCGCCAGCTCCGAGCCAGAGCCCCCGTCGGCAAGGTCGCCAGAGGCGGCCGCGAACTGCTTGGCCACATCCAACATCTTGGAAGTGCCTAGCCCAGCCAGCTCAGATGCCTCGCCGAGCCGCGCATTCTCCAAGCGATTCAGCGCCTTCTTCTGGTCCTCCTCGGTCGCGTTGGTGACCTGCTTGTCGAGGAACGATGCGGCCTCCAGTTCGCGTTTAGCCAGGCGGTCCACGAGCAAGTCCTTGACTTTGATCGCCACCCTGAGGGCGCTTACAAATCCAAGGCCCCGCTCCCCCCATCCGCCCTCCCCGCCCCCCTCTCCCCCCATCCGCCCCCCCCTGACACCAAGTCCCAAGTCTAACTTGGCAGTTGAGGGAGGGCAGAGAGGGGGGAGTGGAGGGTAGTGGAGGGTGGGTCAAGGGTCAAGGAATTGGGATGGGAAGAAAGCGCCCAGGCCCGAGGGCAACCACAATAATCCCGATATTGCCCTCTTTTCCTCCTGGCCCTTCTCCTGCTTCCTGCTCTCCAGCTCCCTGCTCTCTGCTCTCCCTCCTCCCCTTCCTCCTCCTGCTCCCCCCCCCCCCCCCATCCTCCTCATCCTCCTCTTCCAGGGCCCGGGGGCCTCTGCGCATACTTCGGGTTCTCGCCGAGCAGGTCGGTGACCGCGCCAGGCTTGTCGTACCTCTCCCTCCACTTGGCGCTAGCCTCCGCGGGGCCGAGCCCGCCGTTCTTGGGCTTGCCGGCCCAGTGCTGGAAGGCGATCTCCGACATCATCTCATAGATCCCGTCTTTGATGATAGCCTTCTCCATCTGCAGCTCCTTGCGGTACTGCATCAAGGGAAAGGTGCCGCGCGGCCCGTTCGTAATTTCTGTGTTCGGTGGGCAGCGCAAGTTGTACTGCGCGATGAGCTTGAGGCGGTTATCCGGGTCCGCGACGTACTCGTTGAACCACGTGACATCCTCCTCGCTGCTAAACCTCAATGTCATGTTGCGGAGGTTGTTCAAGGGCAGCCGGCAATCCTCGCAATCGTTGCATTGGGAAACGAAGGAAGTCTTTGGCTTTGCCTCTGCACACGTCCGGCAGACGCGCTCGTTCTCCCCAGGCTTGACGGCCTTGGCCTTGCCGTTCGCCTTCGAGTACTTAGCCCGCTTCTTAGGCTGCACCGTTGCGGCCTTGCCCTCCTCGGGCGCCTCCTCGGGTTTTTTCTGGCCCTTGCCCTTCTTGCCCTTGCCCTTCTTACCCTTGCCCTTGCCCTTGTCGCCGCCGCCGTTGGCGGTGCCACCCGTGCTGGCGGCGGCCTGCCCGTCCACCTCGAACTCCTCCATCAGCTCGTCCTGCTCTGGGATGACTCCCATGGTCGCCGGTCGCTGACCCACGGACCACGGACTTGGCGATGGCCCCTGAGAGGCCGCACTGGTGGAGTGCCGCTGGGCACTCGCATGCTTTGCGCCACAAAGTGCTGCGTGCTGCGGGGCAGCAGGCAGGGCCAGGCAGGGGCATGGCAGTGGCCAGTGGCCAGTGGCCAGGTGTCCGCGTCCTCCTCTCCTCTCTCCTCTCCTCTCTCCTCTCCCCTGCTCTCCCCTCGCCCCGACCCTGCACCCTGCCCCCTGCCCCCTGCCCCTCTCCATTATCGGTGGCCCCGCGCGCAACCTATGGCCTATGGCACAACGAACAGGCAACAGGCAATGCTTCGTTGCCCCCTGGTAGGTTGGTAGGTTAGGGCATGCGGCATGCGGCATGCGGAGAGCGCTACAGATGTTTCGGGGGGGGGGGTACGACGTGAGAAGAGGAAAGAGGATGCAGGGGGCAGGGGGCAGGGGGGCAGGGGCGAGGGGTGAGAGCGTGAGAGCAACAACATAGGATTGACATCGGCTCTGCTGCTCGCTGCTCGCTGCTCTTACACGCTTACACGTGCCTGTGCCTGGTGCCTGGTGCCTGGTCTCTTGCGCTGTACTCTTTCCTTCGCCCTTTGCCCCCGTGCAACACTGCGCAGCCCCCTGCAACGCCGCGGGCCCGAGCGAGCAACCTATGGCGCAACAATGGCCGCCACCGCCGCCGACGACAGTCGACGACGACGACAGACGACAGACGACGACGACGAAGACCGACGACGACGACGACGACGGACGACGGACGACGACTCGACGACGACGACTGGATTATCTCAATACTCGAACCTCGAATCAGATACGAGACAGAGGAATAAGCCACTGGCCACTGGAGGATAAACAGGAGGAGAAGGGCGAGGGGCGAGGGGCGAGGGGCGAGGAGGTCGGACGTCGGACGAAGGGGAGAAAACGTTATCACGTTATCCGTAGCCATTTTCGGCTCACAGTTTGCAGATCCTCCGTCCTCCGAGGATCCGAGGAGCGACGAGGAAACTCCTCGCGCCCTCGCGCGGCCGCGCGGCGCCGCGCGCTCCGCACTGCGATGTCCCAGCAGTCCCGGCGGGCTCCGCGCGCTCCGCCGCTGAAGAAGCGCTTCTTCGCGCCCCCGCCATATGTGCCCAGTTCGTCGGACGACGACGAGGCGGCGGCCGGCGCCAGCAGCACATCGAGGACGGCGGCGGTGAAGTACCTCAAGGCGAAGGCGAAGCAGCGGCCTTGGCGGCCCGAGCCCGAGGCGCTTCCGAAGGTCAGAGGACAGAGAACTATGCACATACACCGATTCTTGCCAGGCCGATCCTGAGTCCAGAGTCCAGGATCGGTGCATACGCCATACGCCATACGCCATACGCCCTCCTGCCTTGGCCAGGAAAGCATATGCACCGATCCTGGGCCCAGGAACCCAGGAACCAGGAAGGGCCTGGCCAGAATCGGGATTCGGTGTATGTGCATAGTTCTGTTCGCAGGCGCCTGCATCACCGCTGGCGCCGCAGGCGCAGGCGCCCCGCGGCGTGCCTGGTGGCGTGCCCGTGGCGTACCCGTTCCCGAGGGTGGTGGCGTACCCGTTCCCGCAGTTCCAGCAGGCCGGCCTGCGCTACCCGCCGTGCTGGCAGCCCGCCCCGAAGGTGGTACCGCCGCCGCGGCGGCGAAGTTCGGCGGCGGCGAGCTCGGCGAGCGCGGCTCCGAGTGCGTCGACGCCGGCGCCGGCGCCAGTGCGGCTGGCGGTCAAGTCAGCGGTGGTGGGGAAGAAGGCCCTCAAGATGTCCGCGCCGTCGGGGCACCAGCCGCGGCCGCGGCCGCCGCCGCCGAAGAGGATGAGGCCGCCGCCGATGAGGCCGCCGCCGAGGGCCGCCGCCGAAGAGGAGGCTCCGCCGCTGCCCAAGGAGGCTCCTGAGCCAGCTCGGTTCGTGCCCAAAGTGTTGCACAATCCGTATGAGGAGGACTTCCCGGAGTCGTGTTTTGAGGACCTCATTGCGGAGCGCTGGCTCTGGGCGCGCGATCGCCGCAACCAGATGGTCTGGTCCCAGGGGCGCAAGCACTTCAACAGCGCCAACTACTTGGTCTTGGGCCTGGACCGGGAACGCAGGCGCGCCACAGAGGAGGAGGCGGACGTGGCCATCATCGAGGAGGAGGAGGCGAAGGCGGAGGCCACCACAGAGGAGGAGGCGGACGCGGCGACCATGGAGGAGGCGGACGAGGCGAACGACGGCGGCTTCTTGGCGCAGAAGGAGGAGGGCGACGAGATCAAGGACGAGGACGTGGTGAAGAAGGAGTTGAACCTCCAGGAGTTGAGAAAGAGGGTGAGGAGGACCAAGCTCACTGATGACAAGGTCAAGATGGCCCAGCCGGTGCCTTGACATCCGCGCCTAGCGCCTAGCCCGCGCCCCGCGCCTCGCGGCGCGCGGCGCCCCGCCGACCGCCGACCGCCGACGACGACGGTGGACGGCGGGCGACATGCGACAGACGACAGACGACAGACGACAGACGACGTCGCCGACGCCGACGCCGACGACCGACGACCGACGACCGACGACGACGACGACGACGACGACGAACGACGACGACGACGACGACGAACGACGACGCCCGTAGAAATCGTGGGTACGCGTAGTTAAGTGCTGCGGCAGTGCTGCACGCTACACGCTGCCCGCCTACCCGCCGCCCGCCGCCCTCCGCCCAGCGCCCAGAACCCAGCGCAGCGCCGGGAACTAGGGGCGCGAGGCGGCTCAATCGCCCAAAATGGCAAAGCAGGGTCTCGGCGGACGGCGGAAGCCAGCTCGTGGCTGAGGAGGGGAAAGGGGAAGGGGAGGGAAGGGGAGGGGGGGAGGAGGGGAGGGGGGAGGGGGGGGAGGAAGAGGAGGGAGGAGGGAGGGAGGAGGAAGGAGAAAGGAAGAGGGGAAGGGGGAAGGGGAATGAGGGAAGAGGGGGAGGGGGGGGGGGGAGGGGGGGGGGGGGGGGAAGAGTGAAGAGTAAGAGTTCGACGCAATTGCGGAAGCTGGCAATGAAGTGAAGCTACGATGATACGATGAGGTTTGGTGTCTAGTCTGGGCTCCTCCTCCCTACTCCCTACTCCCTACTCCCTAGTCCCCTCCTCTCCCTACTCCTTACTCCCTACTCCCCCTCCCTACTCCCTACTCCCTACTCCCTACTCCCCTCCTCTCCGTCCCCATCCTCCGCCTCACCTCCTCTTCCCCGTCCACCATCAACATCATCGACTCATCGCCATCGCCCTCTTCATCTTCCATGATCCTCCTCATTCCCTCCCTCGCAGCGGACGGGGGCGGCCTCCGGCGCCGCTCGCCGCAGGCCGCAGGCCACCGGCCAGCGCCGCGCCAGCGCCGCGCCAGCGCCAGCGGCCGGCGCCGCGCCTGCCGCAGGCCCCGGCCCCCGCCCCCCGCTCCCCGCTGGCGCCGCCGGCCGGAGGGCAGTAGGGGCACGGATGGGAGAGGGGGTAGGGAGTAGGGGGGGGAATAGGGAGTAGGGAGGGGAGGAGGGGAGTAGGGAGTTGGGAGGGGGAGTAGGGAGGGGGGGTAGGGAGTAGGGAGTGGGGAGGGGGAGAGGGGGAGTAGGGAGGGGGAGTAGGGAATAGGGAGAGGTGGGGAGTAGGGAGTAGGGAAGAGTCAACCCTCGGCCCCAAGCCGCTGTCCTGGCCCGCGGGGCCCTGCGCCTCCCTAACCTGCCCACTAGCATTGTCCCCCATATTCTCGCCGCCCTCTCTCCTTTGTTCCTTCCCCGCCCCCCAGGCCCCCAGGGGCTGGACGTTCCGGCTCGGCTCGGACGCTCCAGCTTTTTGGCACGGACGTTTCGGCTCGCGGCTCGCGGTTTCGGCGCGGCGGACGGGGGCTCGGGGCTCGGGGCTAACGACGACGACGGCAACGACGACAACGACGACGGCGGCGACCGCGCGTTGAAGAGAACCCTCCACTTTCACAACTGAGCAACTGAGAGACTGAGAGTCTCAGGGCCGGCCGGCCGGCGGCCCAGGCGCCCCAGACCCCAGGCCCCCGTGGTGGCACGTGGAATTTTCGTCGTCATCGTTTATCGTTTTCGTCGTCGTGCGTCGTGCTCATCATCGCAGGGCGGGCTAAAGGGGCAAGAGGTAAGAGCTGAGGGGTAAAAGCCCCAGGAGGGTCCAGGGGGCACCAGGCGCCAGACGGTTCGTCGGGGCTCGATTGCGCGAGGATGTCTCAAGCGAAACTATATTTTTCTGAGAAACGGGCTCAACATCACGTAAATTACAATGTGCTTTTGAATACAGTAATACCGTCGATCGCACGAGGCCCCGAAGCCCGAAGCCCGGTGGTCAGCGGGCTGCGCGAGAGAGGAGAGAGGGGAGAGGGGAGAGGGGAGAGGGGGGAGGGGAGAGGGGAGAGGGGGTGGGCCGGTGGGCCCCGCTGGCCGCTGGAGCCCCCGTGGGGCCCTCCGTGCTCCGTGCTCCGCGCGGCCCACGCTGGGCCCCCCGCCCCCTGGAGCATCTCGGGCCCCTGGAACTTTTTATTGTACAAATCTTGGGCCCCCTGAGGGCCCTTTACTTGTACAAGTCTCGGGCTCTTTAGTTGCGCAATCTCGCCATCTCGGAGCTCGGAGCCCTGAGCCCTCTTAGGGCCTTCTTGCCTCTTGCTCCCAGGATACGGCCAAACGTAAATGTCCTAGAGATGTGGAAAGCGGACGACGGACGCCTTCCGACGTGTCTGCACATGATTTAAATCCCTTCACGGGCCCTCGATGACAAAGGTATGGAAGCCAATGGCGATGGACTGGCGGGAGGCCCCCGAACAAAATTGCAGCGCCTGCCCGAGAATTGCCCCCTGATGCACTGGCGGGGCGCCGCTAGTCGCGCGACCTCGCGCGGCGCTCGGCCGCGGCGTCCTCGTTCGAGCGTTTCGTCCAGTTCTCCTGGGGGCCAGCGAGGGCGGCGGAGGGGATCTCTTCATCGTCGTGTCGTCGTCCGTCGTACGTCGTCGTCTTTG